ACACAAAAACAATAATACCAAATGAAACATAAGACTATGGGGGGGGGGGGGCGGTTTAATGCGCAGCTCAGCCAGCTAAAAGTAAAAGGACAAAGAAGCAATAATAAATAAATGAAAATCAATCACATTTATATATATAATCCTTGTATTTTTGGGTAAAGTATACAAATGGTTCTCGACTATAGGATGATGCTTTGTTGAGTCTCTCAACTATTAAAAGTTACAAAATTATCTCACGACTATAGGATATTGCTTTGTTGAATCCTCCAACTATTAAAAGTTACAAAATAGTCACCTGACTATTCATATGTTCCAAACTCGTCATTTTCCGTTAAAAATGGTAACAGTCTGAGCTGAATATTAACTTATTGACTAATATATGATAAAATCATATTCTAATAGTTCCTAATGGCACCACCGTTGCTTTCAAGCAGTAAATTGATTGTATAATCTTTCAAGCACTGACTTGAAAGTATAATGTAAACGGAGAGTCGAACCATAAAATACAATTGAAACGATTATGTGATCAAATTTTATCGTCAACAGGTTAATGTGCAACTCAGACAACCGCCAATTTTTTAATGCTAAAGGACAAGTTTGAAATATATGAATAGTCGGTAACCATTTTGTACCTTTTAATAGTTGGAAGACTCAACAAAGTAGCATCCTGTAGTCAAGGAATCATTTTGTAACTTTTAATATTCGGATGACTCAACAAAGTAGTGCCTATAGTCAGGGGACCCATTTGTGTATTTTATCCTTTTTGCAGTGAGAAAATAAAGCCGGGAGCAATTAATGTTGTCGTATACTTGATCATTGAATTTATGACCAACCAGATTGTTAGTGCATAATTAGTGTCATGTCTTCCAATGTGAGTATGTCAGGGTGAAACTGTAATTATCTGTGTGATTAGATGATTATTCTCTTGTTTTGTTTTGTTCGTTTATCAGATTATGTACTGCACGCCCTACCAGAAATCTCAAAATCAAAATTTAGAATCCAATCCAATTAGGGTGAGCTTGGATGGCAAGTGGCTGTTGGATTGTGTGGTTAAAGACACATGGCTGTGACTGTTTGGCTTTTAGCTCACCCACCACCCACGACCATATATATAGTCAATAATAAGTCATGCTCATCTCTCATCTATATATATAGTGACCTTTCCATATAATGCATAGATAGCGACTTGGGATCTCTTCAATTCCTTCCTTGCTAATTTCCATTTTTCACCTATCCTATTTTTTATACATATATGATAATTAGAAAATGTTGGTAATGTAAAATAGTATTATCATATATATTAATGAGATTTTAGTGTTAAAAGTTATATTCCCTTTTCGAGGGTATGGGTTAAAAGTTATAAAATCATTTTTAAGGTATCGACTTTTATCACGACATAGTAATTTTTCCTTGATAAAAGTAATTGAAAATATGTTTAATAAAACCCAGTGAATTATCTCAGTGACTGTTTGAGATGGGATAAGATTTGAGCACGTAGTTTAGCTTATTAAAAAATTGTTGAATAGATATTAATTCAATTAGTATTGATGTTATTAAAGATCACTGGATATTATAAATTTGAATGGGATTCGTGTAATGTGAACAATACTTAAAATTTGGATGTTTAAAGATAATTTAAGAAAATGTATTTTAAAATGATTAAAAATGTAGGATTTGGTATTTGATTTAGACTCTTCGATGAGGAAATGAGAATGTTATGAAACTGCATCTTGCGAGGACAGCATATTCACCTAACAAATTACTTTTATTATACAAAAGTAAGTAAAGTTGATCCGTTACATCCATCCTTATATTGGAAAACTACGCATCTATCTCAAATAGTTCTCCACTGGACCTCTACTCTACCACTGCTACTAGCACTAATATAACTATTTTTTTATTAATCTAAGGTAATTACAAATGATAATATATGTTCTAAAAACTTTCAACCATTTAATATTGAACGCTCAAATACTCTACAATCGTCGATGCACAACCCGACTATAAATATATATATTCTATTATTAAAATCATCAACTTTTCTTTTATAAATTATGACAATTTTATATTTATCTATTTTAACAGTTTAATATATATTAATTTTAAAGAACTGGATAGAATTATAAAAACAATAAAATTCTTCCATCAAATATTTTATAGGGTTACCTCTTGATGTTTTGAGACCAAACTATAAATTAAACCGAAAATATTAAATCATTTAAAATAAACTCTTTTGAACTCATTAAATGGTTTCAATTGTATAAAAGAATATTGTTATCTTTTAAAAAATTAAGTTCTAGTAGCTACGTTTGCAGGGTGTATGTGCGATGTAAATAAAACTAAGAAAATTTTGAACATATATTAACTTGTAATCACCTCAACCTAAAATATTTTTTTAACCTATTTAGGCACATCAATGATGAATAAAAATGTTATTCTCTTCCAAAGTTCTTAATTTTAACAATTGCGTATGTTAGATTTATGTAGTATGTAATTGTCTGTTTCTTCTTACAAGCATGCATGCATCGATCTCATTAATCAATAATAATGCAACCTTACGTTATCTATATTTACATACACATATATATAGATTATGCAACCCTACGTCAGTGAGCGTAGTGTTATAATTAATCCTAGAATTGTCAATTTGTCATGGAAATGCCATTGGCCTTCCAGCTAGAAGAAGACAGCAGGGGATGAAAGAAATATACAAATGCTAAAATGCATGTAAATGGGAGCATGTCCTGTTTTGTTATGGGCAAAACCCTAGTTTTTGTAGACGGTGAAAGGGAACAATGTAGGCCGATGTGGGTCTATATTTCTTTGCACCAAATCAAAATGGTATGGTATGGCCACAATTTTGCTGTTATGTCTGTCCACATGCATTTGGCCACCATCGACGTGGTTTGCCAAAACATTCACAAGCACTACCAAACATGCCTCGCCTACTAGTGGCGGATTCATAGCTTTTTGAGGTGGACATGTTCCAATCTTAAAATTCGAATTTTTATATTAATTTATTTATTTTACTTATTATATCTACCTTTAAAAATATATTTCACCACATTCATTCATCCTATCGTCTCTTAGTATAATACTTTTTTTCGTATCCAAATCTTGAGTTGAGAGCCTCAAAGTTTTTCGTCCCTCGCACGTGCTATATATAGCAGCTAGATCAAAGATTTCCATGCATGCAGAAAACGAAAGCTCCATTTTCAGCCATTGCCTACCAGTCAATGATGACCACATATTGACCATCAGTTCACCCTTTCTTCACGTCTTTATCCCTAATACGGCAACCAAATTAAATATTAATTTAAGCAGCTTTAGTGATATTTTGATCGTTTTCAAATCGATAGGGTTGGCATTAAATAAAGTCTTTCAATCATATCGTATGCGTATATGAAAACGTAGATACATGGATGTGACACTGCCGTCCATATATACAAGTTATAATTAAGTTCAACGTTCATGAATCCAAAATTTTCAAATTCTTTGCGTGGAATGTTGGTTCCAAAACTTATTATCAGTACACTCAGATTAGCAATTATCTGTCTAGTTCCTAATAAAAACTTTATTTTTAATTAGCATGATCATGACATACCCAAGATGTACTAATAGGTTGACGAAGCAATCACCTACTTAAAAATTCAAATTCTAATTATAATTTAAATATTTTTATTTATATTTTCTATTGACAATTTATTTTCCATCCCTTAAAATTTAATAAATTCATCTCTTAAAATTTTATATGATCGTCCCCTAATATAAAATTTTGTATTGACCCCAGTTACACGTAATTGTAATGGTAAGAATTTACCCTTTCTTTTTGCTCCTCCAAATATCAATTTGGTTTACGATATGAATTGATGTTCTTCAATCTCTCAGGCGTATTTATTCTCTTATTGTAACTCTTGGATTTCCACTGTAAATTGGCTAGTTGCATTTGAATGTAACCTTGATTGTTATTACAATTTTTTCTAATAAATATTCGCGACATATAGCATATGGTGTAGTGCATAAGATTGTGGCCAACTAGTGAGTAGTTGTTTCATGGACAAGAGAATCAAGAAAGATATACATTCATAGACAAGAAAGATCAAGATATTATGGCATGCATACTTACAACTCAACCCGCTAAACCCAACCAGGGAAAATGATTGAATAGAATAGTATTTTATATAACTAATATAATATTTCTTATTTTCTTCCTTTTATTATACGATTTCTCTTTGTAAGAGTTAGGTTTAGACAACTACAAATAAACATATGTAAAGCTTTTAATATATATGAGTCTTTAAAATATTCTCCAAGTTCTTATACTTGTATATATCTGAAAACAAGTCTCTTTTTATTTTTTGAAAAATAGTTTTCTGTTTTTCAAATTCAAAAATTTAGGTCCAATTACTAATGCTGTTAAAATTATCTTGTTAATAATTATTTTTTATTTCAAAATGTTACATCAACAAATTTAACGAATTTTATTTTATGATGTTAACACTTTGCACTTGGAAATTTTAAGGGCAAATTACAAATTTCATCATTAAACTTTATTCTCTCCCCTATTTTGCTCGCTGAACTTTAAAGTTTTCAATTTTTTCATTGAACTTAATACATTGAATTTTCTTGTTCACTCCACCGTTAAATAGTAACGGCGGTTAAACGACACCGTTTTAAAAAAAAAACAAAATTTTCACCAAAACATCGTTTTACATCTATAAAATGTCCCATTTATAACACTATTAGTGAGAAAACAGACGAGTGTCCAAAAAACCCCCCAATATATTAAGTAAGAAAAGTAAAAAGATTTAAAATACATCGAGTGAAATAGAAGATAGAGTAAAATTCAATTACTAAATTTATAATTTACCCAAAATTTTAAAATGTATACAGAGTGCACAGACTTATAGCACATTTTAACCTATAACTAATTAATAATTATAGTAAATTGAATCTTAGTTCGATTGTTATTATTCTTATTGCAATACATAGTAAATTAAACATATCTTCTTAACAAATCAACCATGTGTTAATATCTATTAAAAAAACAATAATCAAATGATCAAACTGGGCTGCCAAACCTATCCTATGGTTACTTATACACAACACAGTGGCTTCTTTTTCTAGCCAAGACATGTATATGTAATCAACATATTCACAGTTTAAATGAATTAAAGGATGAGACGCTAACCTCCTCGTCACGAAGGGAAAACATAACCGCATGTATCATCACTGTGGGAATTTATTGGCCAACTTTGACATAGACACAGATGAGAAGGAAATAGTCCGGATTTATTAAATTGTTTGCCAGCCAAGAAAAGGGTATCTCTAGCTTCGGTTTGATGCCCTGAATTCGGATGAACTTGATTTCGGCACTACTGGAAATGTGGCCAGCCTCTGGGTTTTTATATTCATTCTGTCCCTGGTCTTCCACTACTTTATCACTGCTCACATCTTCATTGGGATTTCTAGCTGTATTCTCAAAATCAACTCCACTTAATTTTACATTCGTCAAGGATTCATCCGAAAATAATTCTGGGAGAAGGGTTTTCAAAGCATCATGTAAAGTGAAGCATTTATCTGCACAGGAGGAGCAATACAGGTAGCACACAAGACAAACAAAGCATATCATCTAGAAGCAACCGATTCATTTCTCTACATGCATTAGTTTTCAGTTCACATGTTTGTTTACATAAGAGGCATTGCTTACCTTCTTTGCGGATCTCAACTGGTCGATTTATGGAAGAGATCTTCTCCCAACTATCAACCCGGGGTATCTCATCCAAATCATCGAAGTCCTCTCTTATGCTCAAAACATATAATCTAACTGGAACTCTTCCTAACAAGAGCTCACCAACAATTAAAAACAAATAAATTTAAGGATGATGCAAAGATTTATATTAAAAGTAACATCCCAACCAAATGCAAACGTAACCTGAATTGTTTTTCTTTATGGATATGTATATCAACTAGTTAAGATGTACATTCTCATACTGATTTGTGCTTGCTTACCGAGGTTCACTGTGCATTTACAAGAAACAGAATTCGTACCGAGTACTGACTGCAGTTTTCTATTTCAGATGAATTATATAAAAACAAGTCGGTAGGGTTCAGCAGCTGGCAACTGAATAAGTTGTTGTCAAACGCACAGATGATTGAATCTGATTCATAGCTGCTTTTGTATAGTTGGTTTGCTAAGTAGCTAATTATGGCTTCTTACTAGTAAGGATAGAAGACTGTCAACATATACATTCAAAGATTATGATCATCATACATCAAGAACAGGCCACACTCAAGAAAAGGTGCAGATGATGAAACTGTCAAGAAAACTCGGGGGTTTATGTGATAAAGGACCAATAAAAACTGATTTTAAACTAGATGTAATTAACTCCCAATTTAAGATTCTTCACAGTATATTATTCATTTTCTATTTTCCTACTACCTGAAGTGTTAAGGCCACTTTGGTAATTCTCAGATTTGCTAGAATTCCACAACCCAAAGCATTAAATATTCTGCATTTGTTATGAAACGTATGAGAACCCAATAACTTGATGCAATTCATGTGTCTTTGTCTTTAAGCATAATAATAAATAAGCAAACCTGTCTTGACTTGAGCGGTCAAATTGGTTTCTCCAAGGGATTGTTGAGATTTCTGCAAGCACAAACTTGTATACTCGTCGTCAACTGTTGAAAGTTTATGCTTAGATGAGACACGTTGGTAGGCTTCCAAATTACCTGTCGGAACCCAATTATAAGAATCAAACTTGGAACATTGAGAATTTGTTAAAGTAAACAAAAAAATTTGAAAGGGGGGGGGGGGGAATGGTTGAGGGAGGGAAAAAATTGTCACATAAAGAAGGTATACGTGTATATTTGTATTGTTGCTGTACAATCAATACTACCATGTTTTGCAGGACCAGAGGAAAATACAGCATACCCTATATATCAATTATTATGATTCGAACATTTAACCCTCTCATTACAATTGAACATCCATTTTTCTTTTTTCAGATATCCCAAAATTTTGTTTTTTATTTATTTGAACTAGAATGATCACTATACACGCATATTAAAGAATTTGAAAGGTGATACTACAAAAAAAATTAAATTTCTTTCGATAAGTTGGAACATTCTTCCAACCATGGATGCCATTTTCAAGGAGTAAAAAAGCAAATTTCTAAATAAGATTAGATAACAATCCGAATCAAGAAGAGTTGAGAATTAGAGAGAGCAACAAAATTAGACTGAAAGAAACAACTTTCAAGAAAAAGTTCTTTGTATTCCCTTTGAAACCAGATGACTAACCACCTGGATGAAATTTTATTATTTTCTATTGCTGCCCTCAATGTGAAGACTTTAAACACTTATTTAATACTGTGCTTCTTGTTTAAGCTATCATAAAATTTGAATCATAAAAGACCAACAAATAATAAAATCAGCTCCTGAATTTTCCTTTGAAACCTTCTTTCTCGTTGCATGCAGAAAATGATCCTAAATCTTAAAACCTATACATATTGAATAGTTTTATGGGAAACATAAGACCTGAAATATTTTATTATCTATTTTCTAAACAAATAGACCTGAAATATTTTATTATCTATTTTCCAAACAAATCATCATTTACACAATTGAATGTACTTAAAACAACCATTCATTTCTTTCTCCCACATCAACAAAGACTGAAGTAATGCAAAAAAATAAAATAAAAACAGACAAAGATGGGAGAAGGGCTTCTGGTGGAAATCTGAAAAAGTCAGGACAATCAGGTGTCATCATTAAAGCAATAAATAGAAGAATGAAAAGGAGTTATAAACCAGCGGGCAGGAAAGGGAGACAGGTTTTCCACTCTATGACTAGGAGAAGCAAAATGAAATTTAGAATTTCCCATATTTAAAATATATGATATATGTCACTTTGGCAAAAAATAATTTTACATTAACCTTTTAAAGTGTAACCTTTCACAAATTGAGACTATGCCTAAGAAAAAAATAGGAAGGCTAGGTGCATTTGTTGGCTATAAGAAATATGAAATTAACCAATTAAAAAAAGCATAAGCTGACAGAAGAACACACACATTCAATTGTTGAAAGCCATAAATTGTGAAAAATGCTAGAGGCAGGTTCATTTTTGTCTGAATTCCCCCAGGAATTCATTCCATTAATCATGGTCATGAAATGACCCATGTAAGTGGATTAAGCCCTGATTACTCAACAGACCAAAACAAGCTACTCAAAAGTAATCAAAGTTATCCAGCTGGAAAGAATTTGGCTTACTGCATTCCTCAACATGCCCCAATTAAGCTACCTGAAGTAACTTATAACAAAAGTATCAAAGTACTCTTTTGCATCCTAGAAGAAAATTTTAACTCATGGGCATGGCAGAACTATGCTGGTCCATACTAGATCATGGAATAATGAGAAGCCAAATAAAGGCTCAAAAATGGCAAAAAATTGCTTTAGAAACAAATTCCAGCTGTAAATATATATTTATAGCTAACACCAACTTAACCCTGGACTGCTTTATATTATAACTAATGTAACAAATATTTCCTACTAAAAGTGATTAAAGACCAAATGAAACAAACACTGGTCTTGAGCCCATATTAATGAACATACATACCATTCATGATAGAATTCCAAAGCTCCAACTGATCAGACTGAGACATGTTCATAACATTCTTGCAATTTCCATTCATTATGTATGCCGCCTGTTGGCATAATAGAACACTGTTACAGATGAACAGTGACAAAACATATTTTAATTATCCAATTCAAATGAAGATTTGTCACAAATAGAGTCAAATCTGAGAGGAGTAAACAAATGCAACTAAGTGGTCATGCATATGCACAATGATGATACTCCAAATTAAAAGAGAGTGAAAGCAAGCATAGTAGCGCGAAACGTCAACATCCAGCATTTATGGGATTTTGATTTAGTTTGTTCTGTACTTCTTTTTACGTTTAAAAAAAATCAAAATAAGCATCTTACAAAATAACCAAAAAAAGTGTCTTAAAATTAACAGGAAGTGTCAAACTCTATAATCTCAAAAGATTCCAGAATGAGCTTAAAATGGATATAATGAAAAAAATATCATAATGTTAAATTACTTTTCATTTTTCAACTATAAAAAGCAATGAATGAGAATAAAATTGTGCGTATACAACAGTATAATAGCTTGTAAAATTGTTAGCATTTTAACCATTAGTAGCAGTGAATTTCCCATGAAAACGACCTTATCAATTTCTAGGAAATTTGTACTAACCTCTTTCAATGAGTTTATAAAGCTCCACTTTACTGAATCTTCTCCTTCACATGGTATCAATACATTTCCAGGATATCCTCTAAAGTGGACCTGTAGTCAGGAAGATTAAAACCTTCAATTGATAACTAATTAATGGGATAAAAGTAAAAAATAAATTAAACATAAGAACCTATATCCTAAAAACATTCCGCTCCTATAAATTACCCGCAGAAAAAAATTATTCCATCTCTTCAATCTCCCCCATCCCTTTCTTAATGTTTACTATTTTGGGGTAGTTTTAAATCATGCATCAAAGTTCAAAATACACGAGTAGTTCAATAATCCTTGTATTTCGTAGGTAAGGAAACAGTGATTCAGCATTGCTCTAGAAGGGCAATATAGTCACAGGCAACCTATAACAGAAAAGCAGTCACTAATTTTTATTATGATAAAACATTAATTAAAGGGAACCTACAGTAATGTTCCAAGGCCTTTCAGGCTCGGGGCACAGAAGATCGAAAAGAACTCCAGTTGGTATGTACCTGCAACAAGAACAGCTTTCGGATTTCGGGTTTCAAATATGTTTGAATAATTAAACAATACAAAACAGAATTCGAAGCAACTAAGTTTGGAGAAAGAAGGACCATTTGAGAGGGAGGCCATTGTAATCAAACCAAATGGTATCGACCCCGGGAGGAAGTGTGCTGCTAAAATAAGGCTTAATCAAAGGCGCTAACAGCGGCAGATATCCGATCCGCGGAGCTAAGATATGAAATGGTATAGAATTAGAAAGAAAAAGTAGAAACAGGAAAGAGAAAAGATAAAGACACAAGAACAAGAGTTGACCAGAGCAGGAGGAGGAGGAGGCAGAGCGGTGACTTGGGATTCGTGGAGATGGATCTGAAGAGGAATTGCTCCTTCCCACACATACTTTTGTGCGTCCATTGCTGCTTCCCAAACCGGAATGGAGGATTGAAGAGGCGACGCAGGCGGCAGAGTCAAAGAAGGGTTGGGAGGATATGCGCTCTGTTTTGGCAGAGAAAAAGAGAAACAACAATTAATACTGCATTAGAGTAAAACTTACTAACCACGGAACTTGGTTTGCGTTCCGATTAAACCAAATAATAATCTAAAAAAATCACAATCACAACGATAAACAAGATCTAAACAATAACTCTACGTTACGAGTAAATTTTTTTAATTAATAAAATAATTAATTTTATTAAAAGTATACAACAAATTTGTAACTCAATGTTTCTTTAAAAAAAATAGGAGTATTAATAAGTCATTTTTTCTAAAACTATCCCACTCTATAAATTAGATACCAAATAATAAAAATATATAGTTAAATGATTAAAAAATTATTAAAATAATTAGAAAATAGAAGATACAAATAAATAATATTTTATTGACATTGAAAATAAAAAAACATTAATACTAATAAAAAAATAAAAATAAAAATATTAAATCAAGTAACATCATTCTCCTTACAAACAAGAGAAACAAACTAAAAAGAGAGGAAAAATATTCGTCCTCTCTAAATACATGCTTCAAGTTCATATGATTGAATTGAATAAAAATAATTTTATATTATCTTTTATAATTCTTATACACCAATAGGATACAAATATTAACACATTGATCGTCCTCTCTGAATACATACTTCAAGTTCATATAATTAAATTGAGTTAATACCTCATTTCATCACCTGAGATATAACATATAAATAAGGGTAAATTACTTCAAATATCACTCACCTTTATGCTCGGGCTCGTTTATATCACCAACGTTTTAATTTTGTCAATTTTAACACTAACATTTAAGTTTAACTGCAATTATGTCACTCCGCTGTTAATGGATTAACAACACAATGACATGACATCTATGTGCCGTGACGATGACTCCCTTACTGAAACAACGTTGTTTTGGCATTATTGTGTTTGGTGCTAAAAAACCTAAAACAACGTAGTTTTGTTTGAGAAAATTTAGCAAAAGTATGTTTTTGGAGGATTTGAACTCAAGACCTCTTGAATAAAAAAAAGGCTTAACCACTGTTTTTATTTTTTTCCTCAAAAAATAAAAAAGGCTTAACCACTTCACCAAATTAAAGTTTTGATTTAATTTTACAAATATAATATAGATAACATTAGTCAGGATTCCAAAAGTTACTTTCTAAAAAACCCATGAATTATTAAAATTCTCAAAAAAATCTTAAATTCCAGAAAATCTCAAAAAAACTCTTTAAACTTCTAAAAATCTCAACAACAAAAATAAACTCTAAATCGTAATCCCTAAAAATCATAAAATTCACTTTTTTAGGGAGTTTATAATTTTTTGGTAATCGCTAAATTCAATTTAAAAAATAAATCTTATGGTTTTTATGGTTTTTTGGGATTACGATTTAAAGTTTATGATTTTTTTTGTAATCCCTAAATACAACTCATCTACTATTTCACAACCAAATGAAATTCTAATAAAAATAGAGGAAATTATTTAAATAATAATTAACGGTGCTTAAACCTTTAGAAAAAGGAAAGTTATTGAAATTTTCCATTCAATTATATTCTTTGATAAATCAAACTGTCATAACCAATTTTTTACAAAACAATTATTTATTATTTTAAAAACAGTTACGACTTTAATTTTGGAAAAATAGGTGATTTGAAGTTAAATTAGATAGAGTCACCATCAACCTTTGGGTTAGGTAGGTTGAATACCTAAAAACGTCTTTTAAAAAATAATTTAAATAAAAATCATTTTTAAGACAAAAAACTGGTCTACATCACCAAATATTCAATTAAATGGATTCGGGAGTCGGTTACGCATGGTGAAGGGTTAATACCCCACAGCGCCCAAATTTTGGTACCTAAATGATTATACGTAGTTTAAATATTGGAAATTACTAACTTGAAAATATTTAAATTACGATCCTTTTATTCATTTGACTTTATAAAAATAAGTGTGAACAATCCTCGAGAAGGCATTTCCTTTATAATTAGGAGACTTTCTCATAAATTCCCCTCACAAAAACGTTATTTCGCAAATTTCGTCAAGATAAAATAAAACAAAATAATAGTGAAAAGCGGTGAAAAATACTCGAAATAAATAAACGTGGAACAAATAAAATTATTGAATATGAAACAACATTTATGTGAATAATCCTCGAAAAGATACATTCCCTTTAGTTGGGAGATATCTTCGTAGATTTCCCTCACATTGAAATTTCTTTTTATTTTTTATATTAAAAAACAATGATGATTTATGAAAAGGATATAATGATAATCCAAATATGTACATAAATAAGGGATCAATATACAAGTTTCCTAAATCAACCACCAATATTACAAATACTAATAAGACTGAAACATAATATAAATATACCACAAGCAAGATCAATGACTAAAGTAAAATTAAATAATAAGTTAAGGTGCCTAAATGCGAATACTGAAAACTAAGTGTTGGAAACAAAAGAGGACTGAAATAAATGCTGGAAAGTTAAAGGGCTAAAAAATAAAGAAATGAAATTAAGGTGCTGAAAAATAAATAAACAGAAATAAATTGCATAAATAAAAGTTAGGGGTTAGTTTGTGCAATAAAATAACATGTTAGTGATAACAATAAGAAAAATGAAAAGTTAGTACAATAATAAGACAAATAAATAAAAGTTAGTAAGTTAGTTCGAATAAAATAATTGTTAGAGTATTAACAAATCAATAGCTAAAATAAAATAATAAAAAAATTAAAGTGCCCAAATCAGAAGTAAATAAAATAGGAATTATAACATGCTAGTGACTAAATTAAAAATAATTAAACTTAAATGCCAAAAGTGAAATATATCAAACATAGAGCTTTAGGGACTAGAATATAAAATGCTGCAATATATTAGGGCTTAACAAAAATTTTCACAAATATTTAGGGACCAGTTCATAAAAATGCACTAAATGTATAGGGGTCTATGCGTGATTTTACGCAAAAGTTCGGTGACCGAAATATAAATACGCTGCAAAGGTAGAGTGGCTTAAACACAATTTACCCAATTATCAGCTTATATATACCATCTTTATAACATTTTAGGCAAAAACCCTAGCCACTTTCATCTCTTTTTCTCACCTCCTTCTCTATTTTCTCTCAACTCACTCTCCCCCCAAACGCCGACCGCCCTCTTCGAAGCCACCAAAAACGGTCGATCACAGTAGAATGGTGGCCAAAACTCACTTCGACGAGACCCTCTTTCCTTTCGTTTCCACCTAGCTTTTAAATAATAACCTAAAATAAACCCAAAAACGTTTCTCCCTTTTCTAGCCGTTCGATCGAACCCCAAATCCCCACAACACCACCGTTCATCGACGACTCTTCACTCCTTGGCCACTTCGACGACAGTACCACCTGAAAGGCGGGACCTTTTCCTTACGATGACTTTGACCGGAGAAAACCACCCCAAACCGAGGGTAAAAACTTTATATTTTTTATTTGGTGACTATATTTTGAATGAAATAATAAAAAATACAAGGTAGATGATACATTTGAGAAAAATATGGTTCTGAAATTCTTTTGTGTATTAATATTTTCGAATGGGTTACATGATTTTTTCAGTGATTACAAGATACCATTTTTTCTCTGATCCTTACCTCAATCCCTCTCTCCCGTTCCCCCTGCTTCCCACCAAATTCCCCCTCTTTATGGTTGCATGCTTCCCTTTTTTACTTTCGGTGGGATAATGATGTTTAGAGTGGGTATGATTTGGTTGAAGTAGGTGAATCTCGTAATTTTTGGGGTTTATGTTGCTTTCTTTTTTAATTTGGAAGATTGATGATATTGGGTTGTTGTTTGACAGGTTGGAAAGATATTCGGTGGCTTGATGGCTCAACGGCGTCGACTTTCTTCGGCTGATGGTATCCACTAGGGTGAACCCAAATTCGAGGTGATATGGACCGTTGGTTGGGTCCAGATCCAATGGCTTGTTGGGCGCGGCGTTGGCAACTGATGTTAGGAAAAAACCCTAATTGGGTTTGGGTTATCACTGGGCTGGTTTGGGTTCTCGGGTCGGGTCTGTTGTTGATGGGTTGTTGGGTGACTGGACTCTCTTGGGTCGGGTACTGGTTGTAACTAGGCTTGTAATTGGGTTTGCTATATTGTTGGGCTTGAGTGGCCTGCACAACATAAATATATATAAAAATTAATTATAATAATAATATAATTAATATATTTTGACCTGGACAAAAACGAGTGTCTACAACCTGCCCCTCTTTGCACATTCTTGTGTTAACAAGAATAGGGAAAAGATGAAAAGACAACCAGTTTTTGTCGGTTTTTTCTGGAAACTTGATATGTTGATTTGGGAACGATACTGCTCATACATTATGAAGATCTTGGTCGTCTAAAGTTGATACGACTCCTACATAATGAGGAGATCTAGTTAAGGGATGACACTGCTCATACTATGATGAATCATGACAATCTTTAAGAATGGTGATAACACTTCTCATATAGATGAATCTTGGTTATCCAGGATTGACTTGGCTCCTACATGATGAGGAGATCTGGTCGGTGATGACACTGCTCATACTATGATAAGTCTTGGCCATCTAAGGGTGATAACACGATTCCTACGTGATGAGGATGGATGGTTATCAAAGGTTGACACGGCTCCTACGTGATGAGGAGATCATGTCGGGTGATGAAACTGCTCATACTATGATAAGTCTTGGCCATCAAATGGTGATAACACGGTTCCTAAGTGATAAGGACGACTGGTTATCAGGGGTTGACATGGCTCCTACATGATGAGGATATCAGGTGGGTGATGACACTACTCATCTGTTCATGAGTCTTGGTCATATAAGGTGATAACAGGTTCCTATGTGATAAGGACAACTGGTTATCTGAGTTACACAACTCCTACATATGAGGAGATCTGGTCAGGTGATGACTTGCTCTGTTCATGAGTTTTGGCCATCTAAGGGATTTTGATTTCAAAGAAACCGACTCAGAGATGATGCTTCAAAAGAAGCTATCTCAAAGAGAAAAATTTTGTTTCCTAAGAACAAACTCAAAGATTCTTTATGTCTCAAATGAGACAAAATTTTGTTTATAGAAAACACCGTCAAAGGTGATAGACAATCTGCTGCTTCTTCATGTTGAGGAAATCTTCAGAAGATCTGTTCTTATTTCCGAACATTGATTTCCTGAAGATCAAAAAAAATGAAATTTTGACTGACTATTTTGGATATTATGATGGATGTCAAAATTGCACATGATGATGAATATAAAGATACAAATTTCATGCATCATGTATGTATGTATTGATGTATGTATTATTTCTTGGTGGGAAAGATTGCATGAGCAAGGTTCATTCTATCCTGATTCAGTTTGTCTTCATTTCCACCAGGGTGTACTCTTGTAAACCTCAACCTAAGACAATTTATTTTCCTTACCCCATCAAATTTTGCCCAAAAATTTTGGGTTTCCTTGCCCCAACTTCGAATCTTGAGCTTCAAAAAGATATTTGTTGAATTCTAAGATATTTCCAGAGAATGATCTTATTTAAAAATGTTTGTCTTCCTTTGAATTTTCAAAAACTTGAAAAATATCAAAAGAATTTTGAAAATGTTACCTCCATCTAGGTTTCACAATTGAAGCAAATCATAAAACAGGAGTTCATTGTATATCCAAAGAATTAACTGCTCTTTTAATCTTTGATAGCTACAAATCTTTGACAAATATCAAGATCGAAAAAGTTGGTTATATGTTGGCTACCTAAATTTAGGGTTTATTTCTCGATTCGATCACCTTGAAGATCATGGTATGCCTTCTTTCTTGATTTGGCATTTTAATCAGAGGCTAACAAAATGACACAACTAGTATAGTCAATAACTAGACTTTTCAGAATATTTCTGTTTCATTTCTCTAAAATCTTACATTTGTTCAAGCTTAGTAGATTCATTTAGCCAAGGTAGTGCAAATATCGGTCTAAAAATGAGATTCTAAGTGCTCGTGTGAGTTTGACTATAAATGTTCCTCAACTCCCTTAGTCCATATTCACCGAAACTCCTTACTTAATAAATTTTTATTTAATTTGCCATTATGAATATCCATAAAGCGATGGCGTTTAACCAATTGCTCTAGAGGGATAGTTTAAGCTTTATTGTATATATCTTATAATTACCTTTATCAGGCTAGCTGAAAGATTCATATCGTCACAAAGTCTTTGACTTGACAATCACAGTGGAGCATACACTGAATTGCCAGGTATCCAATCAATGTCATGGTTTAAATATAATTATCATAAAGCCAGGGCTTTCGAGTTTCCTCTATAACCAATTTCCTTAGCGGAATAGCTCAGCTTTATTATATACATATTATATATATAAATATCTTTTGTTGGGTAAACAAATTCTATTTATTAAGCTTGTTCTTATGTTCGTTAAAGGTCAGAAAATCTCATCGTTAGAGTTCAATTCCCAAGCAACTGACCTAAACTAGATTCACCCACTCGACCATTCCATCTGAGAAGATCATGATCATCGTTGAACATCATCAACAGAAATAAAAACTAATTAGTTTTGCAATTTCATGTGCTAGATGCCCCATTTGTTTGCTCCTAACACATACATGAATGTCAAATCTTTGATTGGTTGTACATGTGAGGAGGAGCTAGCTCGGTCCCTGCAAGAGAAAGTTATGTATTCTGATGTAAGATTGGGGTTAAGATCAAAGGAGTCCTTGTTTTACAGGGTTCATCTTATCATTTCAAAGATTTACAACCTTTTAAAAGTTTTAATTAAAATGATATTCAAGAATTTCAAGATTAATTTTTTTTTCTTTGCTCATTTCCTCATAAGGAATATTTATTTAAAATGTTGATCATCAAATGACTTACAACATTTAAACATAAACGGAAAAAATAGGTGATGCAACAAAATTTCTAATGGACGCCCCAGGTGACTCCTGATCAAAATGCCCCATTACACATTGAATGTCAACGCCTCTGAATCGATCAGATCTTGGACCTTGCGCTTCAATACCTACGATTCTCAGTGGAATGCCTGAGCTCCCAACGTGATTACTGCATATGGCGATAATATCATGGCCTTTAGGATGTGTCTCTCTTGGTTTAGATTGAATTGGAATAACCAGGTTGTTCTCAATTAGCGTTGGGAGCAATTCCTCATATGTCATCGGAATTGAATTAATGCATGACTTTTTACAAAAAACATTATGAGACTTGGTCCCCAGACTAGTTAAATCCACTAGACTGATCAGCTCTTTCCTCAATGCCAGTATGGCTAGTACCACCTATTGGCCATTCTTGATAGCTCTTCGATCATTTCTCGCACATGACGATGTCAGAGAAATTCTTAGTGGCAACCCCTATCAGTAGTCGATATACGGAGATTGTAATGTATCTATGAATAGAGTGATGAACTCTCTTTCAGTTATTGGTGGATGCACTTGAGATGCAACATACCTCCATCGTTGAGCATATTGTAGGAAATTTCTCATCCTCATCTCCATTTTGTAGCGTTGTTCGATCAGGGGTCATATCAATCATGTGTTTATATTGGCCCAGAAAAGAACTAACTAAATCCTTCCGAGAGCGGACTTGAGTACGACTCAATTGGTTATACCACCTAGAAGCGGGTCTAGTCAGACTTGTTGGAAGCAGTCGATCAACATCCTATCGTTTTTGGTGTATCCAGTCATCCTTCGAATAAACATCATGAGATTGAAATAGGGCAATGGTTCCACCTTTCTTTTCAAACTCAGGCATCTTGAATTTGGGTGGAAGCACCAAGTTAGGAATTAGTACTAGTTCTATTGTATCCAATTCGTTGTGAGAGCTATGTCCTCTCATTCCTTTGAAAGTCTCTCTGCAACTGTTTTAAATTCTTCGGGATTTATTCTTGGCTCTTCTCATTGCCTTAGGAACAAATATGTTATAATCAGTAGAATTACCCCGAGGATTTAACACAGTCGTAGTTTTAGTGGCATGGAAGCTTGTTGGGTGTCTTGGAATCTTGTGAGGTGAAATAAGTATTTGGGGACTAGCACAGGCTATCATACATTCAGAGATTTCACATGTCGAGAAAATCTTCTCTTTGCCTCTTTCCTGATTGAGCTCAACTAATTTTTCTACCATTTGGTTCTACTAGGTCCTTTTAGTTTTGCAAGATACACTCCATGGTAGCATTTTGTACCTGCTCTATTTTAGATTCCCACTCTGTTTGCATCTTTGCAAATTCTCTTCAGTTCTTTTTTCAATTGCTCAAATTTGGTTTCCATTCTTAGTGTTGTGTGAATGCAATTACTGTTAGAAGCACTTCTTCAAAGTTTCCCACAAAATAATTAATGCATTTAAAATGTTTAAATGAATGTTATGCAAAATGTAAATGAAAAGGTATCGATTTCCAAAAGTAACCATTCTTAGAAAGAGTTACATTCCTCCAAAAGAACTTTCATCTTTACAAAAGAGACCAATATATGAATGTTGTCTGACCCTTTTACTTGGCTCCATGATCTCAGTCATGACCCCAAAACTTTCTCTACTTTCAAAAAGATTCCGAATCCAAACTATGAGTATTGAGCACAGCTCTAAATAGTTTCCCTCCAATTTACGACAGTTATTTAATGATCGAAAGATATATCCCAATACAACTAGTACAAGATTTATACCTCTCTCCAACTTGTCAAAGAAAAACACTTGCTTTCCCTTCTGTTGAATGTTCTCTACTATCCAATCTTCAACGATACTAGTAATCTTTATAAGCTGCTTTTGAAAGATTGGATTTTCAGAGGTTTATAATAAATTTTATTCGCCTAGAGGCTCTTGAAGTTGAATAGAGTATTATACTTCGATCGTTGGTGTTAAATATTGTATGTTGAAAGTGAAGCAGTTGTATGTGGAATTCCCGCATCGGAGATAAACCATATCACCATATTTCTTATGAATTTCTCCTTGGTAACTACTCTCCTCCAAATCTCCATCAGCTCTTATAGATCATTCCTCTTAAATTGATATTGACATCTGGTCATCTGTGATATGAAATCCCCAGAAAAACTATCTTCTTTGCCTTTGTGTTTCTTTATATCAATCTCGAACCGTTAGATTGTTCTTCATTGTTATGAAAATTCTTTTCCATTTAAATAATCGCTTATACTATGATGATTACTTGGTTAATCAAAACCTTTCTTTATTTATGATGATTATGCAAATGCGAAGATGAAAATATAGATGCAAAAGTGATGACACTTTGAAATGCAATGCAACAAGGATAAAAAAATGACACAAAAAAAAAACAAAATAAGTTAGCGTCACAAACAAAAGAGAAAAACAAATTAGTACCAACAAGATAATCAATAGAGTTAAAAGATGTTATCTACAGATAAATATAACACCTACCCAATCATGATATCTATTCGAACCTGCTTTAAATAGATAACAATCCTACCCGAACATACTTTCTACCCAAAATGATTAATTTCATTGAAATGATCCTAACCACATGGTATCTAGTTCGCATGCTTTTATTCGAAAATAAAATTTAAAGCAAAAAAGAAAGGTTCAAAAATTTTCTCCTTTGTGTACACTTAATTTGGGTACCTACTGACTGACAGAGGTTCGGTATGAATTTCATTGGGGTGATTACAAGGGCTCACTATATGCAGTGTTTAGCACTATTAGAAAAAAGGTACCCAAATTGTCCTTATATCGGTGCCCCCTTGGGCTACCAAACCCTTAATCATGACACGTTACAGGCTCATGTGGATCAAGTTCAATTCGAGAGGATACATTCCCTTATGTCCATGCGGAGAAAAAAATTATCTCACGTAGCCATAAGGTATATAACCCCAAAATTCACTACTAGAAAAACCCCCTTTAATGACGCGCATTGCGCGTAATCTATGGGTGCGGATGACACAAGTGCATATCGTTGAAGCCACCGATATGAATTTCAGATGACGTGCAATTGTGTGTCATGAATCTATGACGCACATTTATGACGCATTTATGACGCGCATTGCGCGTCATTGAAGCCCCGTCATAAATTAAGATTACACATATTTGTGGTGACATAAATTTATGACATGCATGTATGACTTACATTAAGCGTCATGAAGCCCCCGTCATAAATATGCTTGACATACATTTGTGTGCCATAAATTTATGACACGCATATATGACTTACATTGCGTGTCATTGAAGCACATGTCATTAAAAAAGACGACACGTTCATGTGTCGTGATGTATTTCGTATATATATATATATATATATATATATATATATATATTGACAAATAATCAAACTAATCACATCTAATGCCTCATAATACTAAACCTTCGGGATTCATATTATATATAAGCAATCCATTAGCATACAATATATTCACATTAAATTATAAAAAATATTGTATAATCATATGTCGATACAAATATCAAGGCATAATAAAGTTTGCCACATAAGATACCCATTCTTTGCGAATATCATCAATGTCATCATCCGTTTATTCTTCTTTCCCATCGCCAACCTAAGTAAAAAATATGAAATAAGTATATAATTTATACTTATTTAAAGTGAAGTATATAATTAACTATTAAAGAGTACTAAAATGACCAATTTTAAATATGCATTCTTTGAAGCATAATAACATTATGCAAAGGTCATCAAATCAATAGCATTATAAAAAATACCAACTTTGTTCACAACAATATCACCACGAATAATAACATTATGCACTATGATGCGAAAATCAACGATGTTCATTTAAATAAAAAAATATATAGCATGAACAACTTCAACAATTTACTTGTACCCTTTTACGTCTAGAGTACTTGACAAAATCAAATTTCTCATTTAAGTCTAGTATGTGTCTCACATTATCTAATGCTTCCACTACTCTACCAAACATTTCAAATTGTTCCTTTAGACATTGATTCATATATCGAAAACTAGTCTCGATTGCCACATGCTTAAAATGTGTAATTAGAATCAAGAATTCACTCATTTCGTACAACATGATCTATCAAAAGAAGCAAATAATAATAAGTTTACCATAAATGTAATCTTCCACTAAGTTAAATTCACAAGATTTTTAAGTTTGTTTCAAATTATAAACGATAACCTCTATTCAGAAACGTGAATCATCAAATAAAAGAACATTCAAACTACAAGGTGATAACTAGAAGTCTAGAATAGCATCTAACTATGAGTTTTCAGCAGAAATAAAAAGAGCATGACAATTCTTATTAATATGAATAGACAAGATGATCGTAGATGAATTTCTAATATATCATCATACTTCAAGTCCATATGATAGTTGTATGACTAATGTGTATGTATGATATATATGACAGATGTGTATCAAAAAAGTTTGCTTACATTCTTATTGACTATCACTTGAAGTCCGTTCTTCGACTATCTCTTTCATGAACTTACAAATATAATATCCACACTCGGTACCTCCCGACTGACGGGGACACTACAAACAGTTTACAATAAACGATTAGTCAAAATGAAAGCAGTAATTTAAACAAGGAATGATCGTTCGAAGTCCTCACCAAAACATTGATCCAATTGAGGCTAACCCTTTGTTAGATCCACTTTGAGCAGTGTACTATTTCATTGCCCTATAAAAATTGATGAAATATATCAAAGAATATATTATAATGTTTCGATAATTTATGTACTTACGCATCAATAACTTGCTTCAATTACTGATGGACATTGGTAGGGCCCAAGGAATCAAAATAATAACAACTTGTTGCTTTCATATCTATCACTGCCAACACCCAATGTCTTCTATAAAAACGAAAAACCAAATTAAGTTACAAAATATATTGATAATCAAATGAAAAACAAACCCAGGATTATATGACACTAGGACGATGTCATTATCCTTTCTTAGAGACAATCAATCTGCAACGCTTCGAATTGCCTCATCACTATTTTTGAATTTTGCCTTACATCCTGATGGTGAGATTGCATATGGGCTCATAAAACAAATTCCATGATCTCTTTTTAGCCCATTCTTGATTTCCTCAAACAAGTACCTATATATTAACATTAGACAAGCACGATGATTAAATATATTGTGTTTTCATAAAATTAAGCACTTACATCATATAAAAGTAATCGCATAACCGGCCATCTCATCCACAGTAAAAACCACTTCAAAATCTT